AGATGGCTCAGCGGTTAAGAGCATTGCCTGCTCTTCCAAAGGTCCTGAGTTCAATTCCCAGCAACCACATGGTAGCTCACAACCATCTGCAATGAGGTCTGGTGCCCTCTTCTGACCTTCAGGCATACACACAGAAAGAATATTGTATACATAATAAATAAATAAATATTTAAAAAGTATGAATTAGAAAAATTTTTGATGAAAACACATTTTATACATGTATAAAATTCTTATTTTAGCCGGGCAGTGGTGGCGCACGCCTTTAATCCCAGCACTTGGGAGGCAGAGGTAGGCGGATCTCTGTGAGTTCGAGACCAGCCTGGTCTACAAGAGCTAGTTCCAGGACAGGCTCCAAAACCACAGAGAAGCCCTGTCTCGAAAAACAAAAAAAAAAAAAAAAAAAAAAAAAAAAAATTCTTGTTTTAAAACCTCTTTGGGGGAGAAGTATTGCTTTCTGGAAAATGAAATGGGTGAGGAGAGTATGACCCCAGCTGACCCCTGCCTTACACTTAGCCCACTGTTTTGTTTTTTTTTTTGACACAGGGTTTCTCTGGGTTCCAAGCCTGGAACTCACTTTGGAGACCAGGCTGGCCTGGAACTCACCGAGATCCGCCTGTCTCTGCCTCTCAAGTGCTGGGATTAAAGGCGTGTGCCACCTCTGCCAGCATACTCACCGCCATCGGCAAGCTTATTCCATTTTACTATGACAACAGCTGAGGACGCTGGAAATCAGAGGAGGGAGGAGCCTTGTCCACGAGGACTCGGCTAAGTGGCAGACGGTCTAGAGTTAGCTGCTTGGGACTTCGTTTCTAAGGCAGGTGCAGCCAAGGGAGGATGTGTGACGGAGTGTGTGTTTGATTACGTAATGCCTCAGAGAGAGGGACAGTTAATTTGGTCTCCCGTGACCACGCCACGTTATACAGGCAGATGTGGACTGCTGTTTTCTGAAGAGAGCAGCCATTACCAGCGGGGCGACAGGCATGTATCACAGCACCTGGCACATTCGGAGCTGCTCGGATGACGCACAATCAGCCCTGGGGTTTGGAACTGTTGGAAGGCCAGGTCTTCAGACCCTTGCCTGAGGTTCCAGCCACTCTTTCTTGAACCCTCCCCCAAACTCTGCCCCAGTTACACAGTCTTGAGAAGACTCTGGAGTTTCTAGAATGTGAAAGGTTAATAAATGAAGTAGGGACTCCATTTGTGAAGCTGCGGGTAGCTCATAACGCATGCTGTGGGGAGACTCCTCAGTGGTGTGACTGTTTAGGGGGACACCTATGTACCTGGAAGTACGGCTATTAAATTCACTGGTTCTCAAAGCTAGGCTTGAAGGGCACCCTTGTTCTTTCGTTGGTTCCCTATCTGGGGAGCATAAATGTTTGTTCATGTCTCCCCAGGAAAAGTTCACTTAACAACAGAACAAAAGCAGACCAGGAGAAAAAAGGATTGTGAATACATACGTGTTAGATTGAAACAGTTACTGGGAGGAGCTTTCTAGGGAGCACTGAGTTGTCAGCCTGGCTGGACCATAGGGCGTTTAGCACACTGTGTGGGCTCTAAGAATCAGAATTTGGTTAAAAATTTTGGACTGTATCATGCCACAGCATGGGGGTATTAAGCCGTATGATAATATGGTAGATGTTGCTTTAGTGAAATCACTTTGAGTGGGTGGAACAAGGTGACCAAATGGACCTGTCCTCTCCAAAGCCATTCATTCTCTAAACAAGAGAGGCAGAAGTTAAAATCAGCCCTGGCTTAAATGTTGACCCACCAGTCACCAGTAGGCAGCACTGTGCCAATGAGTGACTCGGCCAGGCCTGGGGTTTCCTCCGGAGAATGGCGGCCTGGGGAATGGGAATCAGGAGTAGTGGGGAGGGAATCTGTGTGAAGTGTACCCCAGAGATGGAGAGGGGAAAGGGGGTGTGGTAGCCAAAGGCTTGGTCTCTGGAGGTTAGGGGCGTGGAGAGTATTGGTGAAAAGACCATCACGAAGAACCTTGAATTTTCACACTAAGAAAGACGGAAATAAGATGTGCCCACTGCTACAACTGAATCAACTCTGATATGGGGCTAATCAGCTACTTTCTGATTGAAACTGAGGCCTGTTCTACAGGAAGAGAACTCATGTCTGGTTCTGTAACCCCTTTCAAAGCCCATGACTGGAAATGTCACAGGCTCTCTGGGAAGCTACAGCTGTTTTGTTAAATAGATATGGCATGGTCATCAATTTGCCTTCTGGTAATTAATTTATCCCATGGATTACTGCCGCTGCTAGTTTCTGTAAGGGAAGCGTCATGCAGCAGGCAGAAGTCACTGCAGACTCTTCAAGTCTTAAAGTAAACACTGCCTAAGTTGTCCCGCCATAAGTGGGACATCCATATTGCTCCATTCAAAGCTCAGCGTCACCAAGGAAGAGAGGGTAGAAAGGACAAGGGAACAGAAAGATGTGGAGAGTTCTGGGAGTCTGATTTCTGGACGGGATACTGACTGTTGCTCTGGAACTCACAGCAGCTGTGATTGATGACGTGCATAAGACTGGGCCATTAACATCCTCAGGGAGGGAGGAGGGACTCCGCCCATCTCTGAGGACTTAGAGGCATTTAATGGTTGATGAGGGATGGATTGGTATTTTCTTTAAGGTGTAGTCACTGGCAAGGTGCCCGTGCTCCCGTAAACAAGCTCTCTCTCACGGATGCTCCTGCAAGCAACCCTAGTGAAAAGTCACGGGTAGGGAGGAGAAAGGGACGGGGAGGAGGAGGAAAGACCAGCAGGATGGTTCCGCAGGGAGAAGTGCTTGTCACTCAAGCCGGAGTTCACACACACACACACACACACACACACGCACACACAGAGGCACACACACAGAGGCACGCACACGTGCGTTCCTATCACCACTGCTGCCAATAATTCAATAAAATTCTTAAGATTAAAAAAATGAAATTAGAGAGGGTCTAGTTGGGTAGAGGCAAGAGCTCGGCAAAAGAGATATATAGATAACAGTGTAATAAAGGTGAATATGATCAAATATATTACATGCATAAAATGCCATACTGCCCCCCATGATGTGTAATAATGCAATAAAAAGAAAGATGGGCATTATACTGAGGGAAAGGGGGGGACCCAGGAAAAGTTTATAAAAAGACACAACTAAATTTTAGAAGCATCATTACCATGAGGAGAACAGAGACCGAAAGGAGAGAGGAGTGAGGGGGCTGTTGCCTGATTGGGGAGAGGAGAAGCGGAGCCGTACTACCAGCAGTTGAATTGCCTGGGGCCTGGAGAGACAATCAGAATAGGAGGAGGGGCCATGAATATGCACTTTTGTCAAAAGACAATAGGCATTCTATCCCTATTAATGAATGTAATTTCTGAATCTGCTCTCCTGCTTAAAACTGCGTTAGAGAAATTCGGTTTGGGAAGCCGAGACTAAGTTCTTGTGCTCTCATCTGAAGTCTTGACCAGGATCTCTGTTGGAAACTTGAAGTCTAGGAATGGTTTAACTTTGGCCCTCTTTGCGCTGGCGGAAGGACCAAGGACCGTCGACCTCTGCAGTGGACCGACAGCACTATAATAAGGAAAATATAGGCTGCCGCCGAGTTCGGTTTCCAGGGAGACTGAGGCAGGATTGCAGATAAAGTGCGAAATTGTCTAGGCGCTGGTGAGAAGAGAAAGGCTCCAGGGAGCAATCCTGTCGGCTTCCTGTATCAGAAACCGAAGGCTTCACCTGATGCGAGACAGGTGTGTTCCTCCCTGGCTCGGAGCCCGCCTCCTCCGCTCTGATTGGTGAATACGTCACCTAACTCCGCCTCCCCTGCCCACCGTGAGCTGACTGCGTCCTTGCTGCGTGACCGGGAGGATGGAGTCCCCTCAGCTACTTCTCTGCGCCTGCGCGTCGCAGCGGTCTGCGACAGGGTAGACTATAGGGTGGGGAAGTCTGCTGAGTGTTTTTTTTTTTCAGTCCTGGACCCTGAACCGGGTGATGTCCGTTTTTCCCCGAACCTGGAGGTCTTCGGGCCTTAGGCCACCCACCTTGCCACGACTGACCTCTGATGAAGCTCTCCCCACACGTCCCTACTCTGTCTTGGCAGAGGTGGGTTCCCGGGCCTTGCAGTTGGCAAAAGGCTTGCTAACCGGTCATACTTCCTCACCTGACCTCAGCAGCTCAGGTTCGGCCCTTCTCAGCTTTGTTCCTCAATTGGGAAGGGGCTGGAGAAAGATGTTACATTTTCTCCATAGTTTCCTCTCCTCAACCCCCTTGTCATTCAGGCTGAGATTCTATTGCTGTCTGCATAGTCAGGAAGGACAATTCCCTCTAGGTTTTCTAACCTTTAGAGACAGGATACTCTTATTTCCTGAGTGCCTAGCCAGCAGTGGACTGGATGATGCTGAAAAGCCAGATAAAACCATTCAGGTGGGAGGTTACACTGCCACAGGAAAGTCCCTTCAAGGGCCTCTGAATTCAAGTGGGGGCGGGTCTCTGGGAAGGACCTGCCTGTTCAGTGCTACTCTGGACACCCCCTCAGGTGGCCTCTGGTTTCTGTAAATAAGAAAGCTGCCTTGGATACAAAGCACCATAACAACTCACTAGGGCAGTATAAATAGCTTATTTTGTTTGGGGGAAAGGAACAGGCTACAGGGAAGTAAACTAGGCTTGTTAAAGTGTCGGCTGTGAGATTGCATCCATTTGAAAGTTCTTGAAGCCTGCCAGAGGACACCTATCTTCACTTAAGGATGATTCTCAAGCCTGAGCATCAGGGCTAGCAGTTCTCAGTCTGAAAAGCACATGGTGAAAATGCTGACTGCCAGGACAAAGAACTTGGGTTTTCCTCTGGGTAAGAGGTCACACAGATTTTTAAGCAATCAAGGGCCGATGAACAGGTGTTTAGAACTGACAGGATCCTGAGCCGAGAAGTCCAAAGCCACCACACGGTTACCATGCTTTGCTTCTCTCTCACTGTCATCCAAACCTGCCTGCTCCCAACCCACAAGCATTCTGAGACCACATTTCTAAAAACCAGCCATTTATGTCTGCTTAGGTAAAGTTACAGGAGTATGGTGGTGTATTTACAAGTGGGTTTGTCCAGATAGACTATAACTTAGTGTCTGTATTTAATATTGACAACCAAAAAATATATAAATATCTTCCATCTATACACAGCAGGGCAGGAGTGTCCATGTCTTCAGCAGTGAGTTCTCAGCCTCCGAGGCCCTTCTCGTGGTGATGTCTGGCCCTCAGTGCACAAGAGACTAGAACCTGGCTAGCCCTTCCCCTCTCCTCCCTGCACTCCAGTGCTTCCAACTGGTCTTAGGCAAGGAAAGATTAATTGAGTGGTTGGGAAGGAAGAGTTAGGAATGGGCGAATCCTAAAATGGAGCCCGACCTCTATAATGGGGAGATCCGGGCCTGCGGAAGGGGGTGGCAGCTACCACCTCCTGGGGTAAAGCCTCATAGTTCATAGTTCGATTAGTGTGTCCTTGGTCATAGGTCCAGCCCTACAGCTTGGCGAAGAAGGCATTGTGTCTGGACAGGGCTTGGTCCCCACCCTCAGGCAATGAGCCATTCAAGGTGAAGACAAGGGTGTGAAGATAGGAGAGTGGCTGATAAAAAAAAAAGTAACAAAAATCAGTAATAAAAAAAATTATAAAACCTGTTGCTTATCTGAACAGATTTGAGCAACAGTCTTGCTTTCATTAAAATTCTGCAGCCATCCTGAATATTCTTCTGGACATCATTGCTGGCTGATGAAAGACGCCTAAGCCCGGCTCGCCTGAGATCTGTCAGTTTGGAAGAGGTCTCATCTAGCTGCCTGTGCTCCAGAGAGATCCGTGGGGCTGCTGGGAGCAGGCCGGGCTGGATGTGGGGCTCCTCACACTTGGGAGTCAGCCCCCAGAGGGTGGAACAGCTCTTCAGGTGTCTTGTCACTTTGGCTTGCGCCCCCCTGCCGGAAGCCGGAAGCAATCTCATCGAAGGTCCGGCCTTTGGTCTCAGGAACTTTGAAGTAGGTGAAGATGAAGAACAGCACCAGGAGCACCGTGAAGATGATGAAGACATAGGGGCCACACAGTTGCTGGAAAACAGACACGCCATCACCCTCTGTCCTAGCTAAAAGACTGCCTCTGAGACTGATCTGGAGAAGGGAATTGCTATTAGCCCCCCAGGGGTGCTATCAAAACTAAATGAGCCTGATCACACCTGACAGACTCCAGAAATGGCATGAAAACTAAGGGAAGGGCCTGGTCTGGGCAGGGTTTGGCCAGGTGATGTGGGCTCCCGACCGCTTGCCAGCATGCCTCTTGAATAACAAGGGTGAGTACTTCAAATAGCATGCAGTTGAGGAAAGGTAGACAAAGAAGATGTTCTCACCTCCACATACTGGAAGCACATGCCCACGATGAAATTTGAGGTCCAGTTAGAAAAGCCAGCCACAGCAATAGCAGCAGGACGGGGCCCCTGGCTAAACAGCTCAGCCACAATGAACCATGGGATGGGACCAGGGCCTACTTCAAAGAAGGCCACAAAGCCGAAGATGGCCACGATGCTCAGATAGGACATCCAGGGCAGCCGTTCCTGTGGAGAGAGATGGGGTGAGAGGTTAGACCAGGATATGACGACTTCTTAGAAGAGAAGCTGCAGAAATCTCTCAGTCTGGGCTGAAAGGTCCCCCAGATTGTTGCACAACCCAATGTAGTGGTCTGAATGAAAATGGTCTCCAGTTGGTGGAACTGTTTGGGAAGGATATGGCGTGGCCTTGTTGGAGGAGGTGTGTCACTGGGAGTGGGCTTTCAGGTTTCAAAACTAAAGCTATTCTCTCTGCTTCGTGTTTGAAGGGTAAGGATGTAAGTAAGCTCTCAGTAACCGCTGCAGTGCCATGCCTGCCTGCCTGCTAACATGTTTTCTGCCATGATGGTCATGGACTCTAGCCTTCTAAATTCATGAGCCCCCAAATGCAATGCCTTCTTCTTTAAGTTTCCTTGCATGGTGTCTCATTACAGCAATGAGAAAGCAACTGAGACACCCGGTAGCCTGTGCCAGGTCTCAGTCTCAAGGGTCTACTTTGTGCCTATCCTTTAGCGCTCCTGGACCATGCCTTGAACTTTTCCTCATTTGGGTTGGACAAAGGAGTGTGTGTGTGTGTGTGTGTATGCATGCCTGCATGGTACAGGTTGTCATAGTGATTAGCGACAGGCTAGGGACCTGCCGACCTAAGGTCAATTCTTAGCTTCATTCCTTATCCAACATGGGGCCTTAGTTGGAGTAAAACGGCTGAACATCTCCAATCTGAAAAACCAGGAGTGCAAAATGCTTCCAAATCTGAAGCTTTTTGAATGCTGGTAACATGACATCAGAAGTGGAAAATTCCACACCTGACCATGTCAGTCATAAAAAAAAAAAAAAAACAAAAAACAAAAATAAGCCATTCAAATTTACCATCAGCATATGGATGGTACATATGAAACATAAATGAATTTTGTTTAGGCCTCAGTTCTAGTCTGAAAGTAACCTGTTGTGCATATGTAGATAGATATTCACATATCTGAAACCCAGGCATATCTGGTCTGAGCACTTCAGGAAAGGGATGCTCAAGCTACATATAACTGAAGAATGGAGACGGGTGTGTTTGGGTACCTCTGTGCCACAAAAGGGACATTATATTGCTGAGGGTTGTTGTGGAGATGAATTGAGGCTATAGGTAAAGGCTCTGCAAGGCAGTTTCATACGGAGATGAGAGCTTGGGCTCTCCAGCCAGACGTGCTGGGTCAGGAAATCCCCAATGGGGAAGAGAAAGCTCAAGATGGGAGGCGACGACCTGAGAAGCACAAGGTCAGACCCCGGTCCAGAGGCATGTCCACGTTGGGCAGCCTAGGTTGGGTTTAACATGGGCATTTGGGGATCTAAATCAGGGTGGAATCTACAGCTATGGGTGCCTGGGTCTGTCTAAATCCAGGTCCCCACCCTACCTCGCCCTGGTCCTTCCAGGGCAGGGCGACTCACCAGCAGGGCCAGCGCGATGGTCATGAGCACAGCACAGCCTGCCATGCCAGCCAGGCCAATGAGGTGCAGAGTCCGCCGTCCAGCTCGCTCTACCACGAACAGCTGTGGACAAGGAAAGAGTCATATTCCCTCTGCCTGGTCTGGTGCCTCTTAGAGCCTACCCGTGCAGAGGCTCACCTCAATAGCCAGAGACAAGGACCTGCACACACTCGTGAGGAAAACAACACCTTTCCCCACCAGGCTGAAGCTTAGAGGCCTCATAGGGAATTAGGGCAGAATTCTGAGTCTAACAGTAACAGGGCGAGAGGTGGCCCTGGGTCACCTTGCTTGATCAGACAGCAAGAGCATCCTGGCTGTGACCTTGGGAGGTATTCTCACCTCCCTGGAGGCCTGTGTCAGCTGTACAGTGTGAGCAATGAGCTTTACAAGTTTATTGACAAGCCTGGCTCCCGGTATAGGCTGTCATTCTGTCACGAGGCTCTGAGCTGAACCCTGGCTGCCGACCAAAAGCAAGCAAAGACTCACCGACACCACAGTGAAGGCTGTGTTGACGATACCCGAGCCGATGGTGGCATACACAGGCTGCTGCACACCCGCCTTCTCGAAGATGCTTGTTGAGTAATAGAACACCTGCCAGAAAGGGAGACAGTTGGTGATCTGCTGCGCCACGGCCTTCTCCTGCCTCTGTGCTAGTCACTAGTGTGTGGTGGGGGGATGAACACTTCTCAGGCAGGAGGATACCGCCACAGATTTTGGTTCCATAGGTTTACTACTTTGGCAAAATTTGCTTATGGTTGTGTTTGGGATTCTCTCACGGTGCACACTTGAGCCTGGACTTGGCTGGGGTTACAGGAAGGGGTAGGTGGGATACTCACAGCATTGATACCCGACAGCTGCTGGGACAGCTGCAGCACCACAGCAATGAGGAGAGGCTGGCGGTAGGCGGCCGAGCGGAACAGCTCCAGGATGGTGACCTTCTTCTCCCTCATCATCTGCCGACCCTCTTCTTTCATCTCCTGCAGGTCTCGGGTCACATCGGCTGTCCCACGAAGCTTCTTCAGCACTGGTGGGACCGGAGGGAAGGTGGGGTGGCTCAGAGTGGGAAAAAGGCCTGAGCTCAGGGGGGCAGGGAGGAGGGCAGGGCCCAGCCCGTACCACTCTTGGCCCGGTTCTCCTCGTTTCGATTGATGAGCAGGAAGCGGGGGCTCTCAGGGCAGAAGGGCAACAGGATACACTGTAGCAGGGCTGGGACGAAGATGATACTCAGCAGCAGAGGCCACAAGTTTGCATTGCCCATAATGGAGTCCAGGCCGAAAATCTGGACAAAGAAACCAGGGACCGTGAGTGCCCCTGCCCTGCCCTGCCCCTACTCAAGTACCCATCCCACTCAGCCAGTGGCCTTCCCAGCCCACCAACTGCTAGGAGACGGGAAGACCTTGCCGAACCTGTTGCTCTTCTGTAAAACCAGCTCAAATTACAAGGACAAGGGACAAGGCCACATATTAACGTGTCTAGCACAGCTTGTGGGCATAGTTACTCAGCTACAGGAGGATTAAAGAACGGGGAACCTCAGGGAGAGAAGGTACGGTGTGCATGGAGGCTTACAGGCCCACGCTGAAGTGGGCCCCTGCGATGAAGGGAGATGAGAAGGCCAAGGGCTCTTGCTCTTAGACTGGTGTGGGTAGGGGTTATGTGTGCTCTGGAACCTGTCTACTGTGAGGGTGTCCTAGGATTGGGGAGAGAAGTTCTCTGCTGGACTGTGACCCGAGGGCCAGAGCTGTGGGCAGAGGCAGTACAGAGTGGGTAGAACTGGCTTACCTGGGCAATGAGGATGCCAACGACGATGCCCAGCTGGTGCAGCGTGCCTAGAGCTCCGCGGAGAGCTGTAGGTGACACCTCTCCCACATACATGGGCACAAAGCCAGTGGTCAGGCCACAGTACACTCCAATGATAAAGCGGCCCAGGATCAGCATCTCAAAAGACTTGCCCAGTTTGGAGAAGCCCATGAGCACGGCAGACACAAAGGCCAACAGGTTCATCATCAGCATGGAGTTCCGTCTGTGGAGCAGGTCACAGTGGGTCAGCCAGCTCCCAGGACCCAGAGGCTCCTCAGGGATGAGGCCAGTCAGGGTATCTCTGCCTCTGTCATACCCCCCCCCCCGAACTCCATGGGCTCCCCAAGGCAGGGCTGGGGCCTTTCCTGCTTACCTGCCAAAGCGATTAACAAAGAGGCCCACAGAGAAGGAGCCAATCATGCCACCGACTGAGAAGATGGCCACTGAGAGGGACCAGAGCGTGGTGAGCGTGGTGGGCAGGATGGATTCTCCATAGCGGTGGACCCATGTCTGGTTGTAGAACTCCTCAATAACCTGCAGGGAGAAGATCCTAGGTAGGCGGCCCCTCCAGACAGAGTGGCCACTCCGCAAAGACATTGTGCGTTCTTCACCTGCTTCTTTCCTTTATGTAGGACCAGTTTCCCTGGGTGAGAAGAGGACTGGGCTCTCCCATCCCAAGGTGCTTAAGACTTGCTGGGGAAGATGGCAAGAATGACAGAGCCAGTTTGGGCACAGGACTCAAGTGGCTCCCTGTCCGCTGCAGGCCACTAGGTCACAGCTGTGGGTCCTGGGCCCTCTCCCAACCCCATTGGGGAGGAAGCACAGCTGGACAGACAGGTTCTGCCATTCTGAGGGCCTGTGGGAAGTGCGCACTGACGCTGCATTTTGAGCCTGGAGGACTAAAGGACACGCTCTAAGGCACACTGTCACTTTCTGTCTCCTAGGCCAGCTCCCCTGTGGCTGGCTGGAAATGCCACCTTGAAGGAACCATGGCCTCTTTCCTTTGCTAAGTGCTCAGCTGAGAGATTCGGGGAAAGGCCCCAGGCAAGGAAGTGGTTCCAGGAACTGGAGACATCTGTCCTGGTATGAGCCTGGTCATTAGCCCTGCCCCCACACCAGGGAGGGCCTAACCTGGTGCCAAAGATGTGGCCATAGGCAGGTGGCGCTGGATCTCAGACACTCACCACACTGTCAGGCCATACTGACAACGCCCAGTGCCAGACTTAGCCAGACCCACCCAGCACACATGTAGCCATGGCCAGGCCCAAGTATATACGGAGAAACAACTTTCTGTGTACTTGCCCTGACATGACACATACTATACTTTGATTTCACCTCACTTTCTTTCTCTCTCTTTGAAACAGAGTCTCAGGAGCTCACAGTAACCCTCCTGCCTCAGCCTCTTGAATGCTAGGATCATAGATGTGAGCGACCGTGCCTGGATCATATTGTACTCACAAGGCTCTCGGTTTTGGCCAGTCACAACCCCTCCTCCATCCTTATCACTTGCACCTCTTACACAATCCCACACTGACACAAGCCACTCCCTCCCTAGGTGCACATGGCAGGCTTCTGCACACAGCAGCACATACCCTCTCCGTAGCCACCCCTTCGAGTCCTTCTGATTCTAATACTGAAGTATGGCAGAGAGGAAGGGATGGATTGCTGCAGTTGCCAAAGGAAAAGGGTGTGGAGCAGCCCCTCGGGTGCCCACTGGGCCTGGGCTGGCTCTGCTGTCACTGGTTGTCAAGTCCAGAACCTGACAGAGCCAGGCTCCAGGGGTTAGGACAGACCAACTGGAAAAAGGCCGTCTAAGCACATACTTGTCTGCTGTATAAAGAGAAGCGAGACAGTGCAGGGGTCAGAACCTAGTTCTGAATGGAAACACAATCAAGTTCTGATCCCAGGCCTATCCCTTTGCTCCAGGTTGACTGTGGGCAAGTTCCAGCAGCTCTGAGCTCTGACTGCCTCTCCTCCGACACCGACTTCAGCACTGCAATCACGTCTCACTTAGTGGGGGCACAGTCTAAGAAATGTGTGATTAGGTGATTCCATTATGCAAACATCAGAGTGCATTTAGAATAAACCTAAGTGGTGTGGGTCATTCAGGGGCTCTTGGTGCAATTAAGAGATTGCAAACATGAGATATGCCAGGATGCTGCTGCGGGATCAGGCTGCTTCAGGTCAGGCTGTTCTATGTGGAGAAGGAACTCACTGTAAAGCTATAATTAAAAAATACTAGATAAAGCTATTAAGCTACCTCTATTGCCATTTTATAATTTTTTAAAAATTTTACTTTAAATTATATGTGTGAATCTATATGTGGGTATGTATACACGAATACAGGTGCTTATGTGGGCGTCAGATTCCCGGGAGCTGGCGATACAGGATATTGTCAGTCGCCTGCTTTGGGTGCTGGGAACTAAACCTGGGTTCTCTGTACCCTTGAGGCATCTCTCCAGCCCCTATCGTCACTTTGTATATGACTGTGTGTGCTAAACACTTTATTTCTGCTATAGGGAAGACTGGGCATATGAAGCAAGGGCTCTCCCACTGAGCTATAGATAGCCACAGCTCTGTGCTCAGCTTTTACGACTGGTAGCACAGTGGGTACGCTTACAGACGGAAGAGCAATGCCAGGATGCCAGTGTTTCTAGCTCTCAGGAATATTTTCTACATGACTTTGTTTTGTGGTGCGGGGATATAAACTCAGGTCAAGCGCCCTCCCGCTGAACAACTCTGCAGCTGTTATGGTATTACAGGATGGAGACTCTGAACACCTGCAGACTGTCATAGAAAGATCTTTATGGCACATGACTGCCTCCATTACAGTGCCAGGGGCAATTCAGGACACCAACTTCTGGTACCCAGGGCACACTGTCCTGACCCCAGTTCATTGAAATCCATTGACTAAGTCTGAGTATACTTCCCTGCCACAATTTAACATCAAGAGCCACGCCCCGTGAATCCAGCCTCCATCCTACCTCCCCTTCCTGCTGTTGTTACTCCTACCTTTGAGATCTAGTCCAGAGATTTCTGGACTCTCAGGAGTTGGTCCTCCTGGAGGTCAGGGGCCAGAGCCAGTGGTCGGGGTACCTTGAGTCAAAGGGACTTTAGGCTCTCTTCCTAGAAACCCTTGACCTTACAGGGCAAGGGCAGAGACCAGGCTGACTGCAGCCAACAAAACAAAGTACTTGTGTTCTTCAAGGGATGCCACATCCCAGAGAACTGCAGGAATGGCAAGGCCCTGTTTATCAGGCTCTGCCGAGAACAGGCCGTTCTGAATAAGGGAGCCGTATAGATAAACTGCAAGTTCTTCTTCAGGACCCAACTGGGAACTGGGTCTCTGTCCCTTTGTCACTCAGGGTGACCAAGCAGACCCGCAAGAAGAATGTAAAGTTATTGAAGTCCTTGCAGGCAAAACACTCACAAACATTTAAAAGAAATAAACAAAAGTTTCTGAGGCAAGGTCTTTCTGTGTAGCCCTGGTCGTCCTGGAATTCTCTAAGTAGACACCAGACTGTCCTTGAACTCAGAGATCTGCCTGTTTCTGCCTCCTGAGTACTGGGATTAAATGCATTTGACATCACAAGTGAGTAAAATACCATTTTTGAAGTCAGCTAGAAGCTTATCTGAACTGTGTGCAGACAGTGGATTTGTGCTGCGACTAAGTCAGTTAAGCTGCCTAGACGAACTTAAGGATGGGCACCGAGCTTCTCTTCTCTTCCCACAGCTCACTCAGGTCTTTAGCTCTCCTCACAGGGCAGGGAGAGGCAGCTCTGAGTGATGAGGTGCTCTGAGCTCTTCCACATGCAGTTAAGTCGCTGCCTGGCCTGGCCTGTCAAGCATGAGCCAAAGCTCACGATCTCCCAGCTCTCGCTGCTAAGTCCCTCTGCTGAGCATGAGGTGTGGGCAGCTGGCTTCCTATACTTCAGCACCACTGGCTCCACCCCCAGGGCCAGCAGAGTCCGAGGGCTTCCACTCAGAATCAGGAGTATTATGTCACGAGCTTCTCAGCCCTCTGCTGTTAGAGACTCTCCTTTTGCAGGGTCCACATGGGGCTCCAAGTTGACATTGGCTCAGGAAAGAGTGGCCCTAGAGAATACTAATTCAATACGGGGGTAGGAGGGTAATTCTAGGGTCACCTTTTTCACCCAGCTACTGCCCTCAGCATCCTCCTGGGGGACGGAAGGTGTACCCTAGGGAGAGAGTACCTGCTCACTTCACCCCTCACAGGATCCCATGGAGCAGCTTCCTCTGCCCCGGCTTATCACTGAGGTGAGGAGCAGCAGCTGCCTGTCCTGAAGGCTCCTGCCCCCTGAGTCAATCACAAGCCCAGGAGTTATCCCTGATGCTGCCACTGCCCCACCCCAGCATCCCAGGTCTGTTGAATGTTGTGCAACAGCTGCCCGGGCTCTAGCCTGGGTTCTCTTCCTGTCTTTCACCCCCAAAGCCATGCCTTCACAGGGATAACAACTAAGTACAGCTCTCCACTCCGCCCTCGCGTTGGGAAAATTTGGAGTAAATTGTCCTAGAATAGGCACAGGCAACAGCTTAGGTTAAGTAGGCCTATGCAGAAGGACCCAAAGTCACATATGACTTTCACTTGCTTTCCATATAATCCCTTTAACATGTAAAGCCAGGGGGTTAGAGAGAAGACCCAGGTTCTGTTCCCAGCACCCAAAAGGCAGCTCACAGCCATCTGCAATGCCAGTTCTAAGAGATCTGCTCTTTTCTAACCCCCATGAGCATGTGGTACACAGATATACAATTAAAAACAAATAAAAATGAAATATAAAACCATTTCTTCATGGGTTTATGTTGATAGGAAGGGTCCTGGTCAGTTGAAAGAACAGTCATGGAACTGGCCTGTCACGAGAGTTGAGGTCCTAGTGGTGCTCTTGGTTTGTGCAGAAGGTACCCAGGCTCATATGGGAAGCACATTGGCTCTGTGTAGCTGAGGTCCTTGGGCTTGGACAGTTTGCAAGAAAAAGCTATTCCTCACCAGGCAGCTCTCCTGGGGTCAGGAGAGGGAGCTGCACATGCCCAAGGGCATCTAGAGAATCTCAAGGTCACACTCTCCCAGGCCCTGGCAACTGTGGGTGAGCATGCCTGCTCTCTACAGAGGAAGTGCTCACTTCCTCTCTGTGGTGGTGGGGTGGTGTCTTGTAAAGGGACGTGAGGCAGAACACGTAGCCTATACACAGAATAAACCTCTGTTGATGTCACTGTTGCTCTCTCTGCCACCTTTCAGAGAAGCAGGAGGACACTAGAGGGTGACTACATTGTAGAATGCTTACTTAGCATACACTGGGCTCTAAGGTTCAAGCCTTAGAAAAAGCAAAAACAAGCAAATCCAACAAAAAATGAGACCCCAAAAAGACTCAAACAAATACATAAGCTACAGAGGAGCAGGTGAGGCAGGGTTCCCAGATTACATTGCTAAGCACAGGTGACTATGATATGAACTACACAGGGAAAGACGAACCCGAAGAAACTCAAGGGTCTGACGCAGAAACCCTAGAGGGCTGAAG